TATTAAATATTATATTATTTATAATTTTTATATTTGGTATATTATACGAAACAAAATATTAATTATTTGTGATATCAATTATATCGCGTTGTAGAAAGAATTGTGTGTGTGTGTATATATGTCACGATTAATACAAAAAATAATTTTTAAAAAAGTTGCAAGTTTCAATATAATGTTGATAAAGTTAAACAAAATTCTTTCTCTTCTTGAAAATTCTTTAGAGTTACAATAATTTATAATAATATTATTCTGTCCAAAATGTATCAGAATCACTTAACAGATTTCGAACCATATAAATCAAATGTGAATAATTAGTTCGTGCGCTATTAATAAGATCCATGTGATTAAATAAAACAAGTTCATTATTTCGGATTACATGACTAGCGAGAGAAGATCCGTTCAAGTGTTGTCGAGAAGAGATACAATAAGAAATCCGAGTGGAAAACTCAACGGATCTCGCACAAGACTCCTCTTTGAGCATGAAAACCTCACCACGATCTACACCAACATCGGGCTACTTGCGTCAAGTGCTCATACCCAACCTTCGTCGACCCTTAGTTGACCTACGCTAGTCTATCATTGACGCCGACACACATGCATCTCCTTCACAAAGTAGCTGCGTATCTTAAGGTCACGAGGCGAAAAGTACCATCGCCACTGTCGTACAAAGGAAAGAGCAAGTGTGAGAGTAGTAAAATTTGCAAAGATGAGCAGCTTCGATCTATTTAAATTCACATTAAATATATCGCAAAAATTTAACATAATACGCACTTGAAAAAAAAAGTTCTTATCAAGTTTAAAAATTAAAATATTTGAAAAATTGAATCATATATGAAGTTATGTATTTCAAAACAAGAAAAATTAATTTTGTGGTAATTACAATTCATATTGAAACTTAAAAAAAAAATTATTTGTATAATTTTTTCTAAATGATTATTTTTTATCGTTCATAAATTTTTGATTCCTTAACATTTTTGTTACAAAAAAGTTACATTTAACAATAAGATAGATGTAAAAACTGTATTTTTTTTAACAAGTCCGAAATACTTTATATGTTTTATAAGAACTCAGAAAAAGGAAAACAGAAGCTCATGCGCGAACGTGATTAGAGGACAAGGATAAAGTCACGTCTGCAGAAACATTCCGAAAAAGGGTGTACCTAATGATGAAATATTTTTAACCTTATATTACATAGCAAAATAACTTTCAAATATCACTTTATTTCTCTTAAATTTTCCCCAAAAATCTGCTACAGTTTTTTAATTATATATTTTCACGGAAGGAAAAAACTTTGCATTATCATCTAATTTTAAATCAATTTTTAAAGTAAATATTGCATATGTATTATATATAATTT